GGGAGAAACCCGGGACTAGGTAAGGGAGGTGGGGCCGCTCGGCGGGACGTGGGCGGCGGCTCCGGGCGGGTGCTGGGACGGTCTACAGACAGGGACCCTGGGGAGAGAATCGGGAGCCTGGGGGGCAGCCATCTGGGGCCGCACGCCTAGGTCTTCGGGGGTAGTGCGGGGGGACACGCATGCCGGAGTCCCTGCAGAAAGCGAGTGTTCAAGGGAATCAGGAAACCGGCGTCTGGGTTCAGGCAGGGATGTGGGGTCCGGCGACTCGGTTCTCCCTTGCAGGCTGCGATGCCGGGGCGGAGGAAGGTAGAGCAGGTGGCCGGTCCCGAGGGGTCGGATATGGGCAGGCTGGATGCCGGAAGGGGGATCCCCATAGACTCGTGCTTAGCCACTAGGAAGCCTTCTATTCAGTACCCCACAGGCAGTGGGGCTGCCCCCACCTGTCCCGAGGGCCGGGTAGCTCAGCTTCCAAACTTCTGCCTTCCCCAGGGTTGCTAGGAGCAACAGCCTCATTTTAAGAGAGCTGAGCGCTTTGGCGATCCTCCCCAAGTCTGGGCCTTACCCCTCTTCCCGCGGGTGAGGGGAGGCGGTGTCTGCCCCGGGCACCCCATCCACTCCCCGGATGTTTTATGTGCAATCGAGGCTCCTTCCTTACACGGGCACCCCGAGTTCTGGTTTTTGATCTCTAGCACAATCCACTTCCTGTTGTGACCCAACACCCCCAAGGGGGCAGTGGGCGAATGCCTGAGGCCCTGGGGAGCAGGCGCAAGAGGAAAAAGATTGGGGCTGTGTAGCTCTATCCAGAGGGGATCAGGAAGAGGGGCCTGGTCCTGAGCTGTCACTTGTTCTGCAAAACGGTACCATATCAGCCCCACCATTCCCCCCTATAGAGTAGGAGAACCCAGGTTTCTGAGCGCCAAGTTGAATCAGTATTGGGGAGAGATAATCCGAGAAAGGACTGGTGTCCTGGTTTTGGGGTTAAACAACCCAGAGAAAGGGGAAGTCACTGAGGAGGGAGGCCCCCGATTTCCGTTATGTGGTTCAGGGAGAGGGAAGGATGGACCAAAGGGGGACTGCTGACTTGGCATAATTCCTTCCATCAAATTCTGGGCCACAGGAAATGTAGATAATAGCAGGAAGTGTGAGGGGGCATCTGCTTCTGTGCCCCCGCTCTCTGGTCACCCCCACACTCCGCCTCCTTGGCCAGCTTCAGTGTACACACGCTGCTTCTCCCTCGCCTGGCAGGAGGTTGGCTGGGTTAGGATCCAGAAGGCAGGTGCCCTGCAGCTGCTCCAGGGCAATTACCACAAACCGACACTCCACTTGGCCAATGGATTGTGGATGTCACAGTCCTCTGCCAGGGCTCCTAATAGGAAGAAACCCTGGGACAAAGGAAAACCAGAAGCAAAGAGGAGAGGAAGAGCTGGATGGTGCCATAGCAGTCAGACCAAGTTGGGGCAAGAGGAGGGGTGCTCAGTCCAGCTGGCCATCATGTCAGTGTTTACTCTGCTTTATTGGATGGGGATACCCAGGGGACCTCCATAACCTCTGCCTTATGGCCTTTGGATAGCTTGGCCTTCTGGGAAGAAGGGGCAAGTAAAGTGATTACAGCAGAAATGGGTGGTGGGGCTGGAGGAAGGAGAGGCCAGCTGGTGGGATTTCAGCTTCTCCTATCTGGGGACCCTTCCCAGACGTCACCGCTGAGGCAGAGCGGATTGGGAGGTGGTGCGGCAAAGAACAAGCCCCCAAGTGGCCGGAGCCTTGGAGTTGCCAGCCACTTCCCCACTCTCCCAGCAGTGGGTGGAGCCCAGGCCTGGATTGTTGTAGCAGTTGGGAAGTGAATCCCTTTCAACCCAACACACGTAATGCCAACTACAGAGGCAGGGCCGTATAATAGTTCAGTGACTAAGAGCATGGACTCGGAGCCAGACCGCCTGTTTGTCTACCATTTACACCGTGACCTTGGGCAAAATACTTGACCGCTCCTGGGCCTCAGTGTCTTCACCTATAAAATAGGAATATTGGGACCTCCATCGTTGGGTTATTAAGAGTATTAAATGAGATAACACACATGAAACGCTTTAAACAGGGCTGGGTGTATTCACACAGTGAATGGTAGCACCATCATCATTTTCGTATGCCTGGCATTGTGTTGGGGACACCTAAAGGAATGAGGCCTCTGCTGCTCACGGTCCATCTAGTGCAGCAGGCAGTACACAGCTAGCTGCCCTGGCAGAGTATCATGCCACACATAAAACATAAACAAGGTATGACATGAACCCAAAGGAGGGACCAGGGTCTGGGCTTGATCCCCTTTTTAAAGGAGGTGATACCTGAGCTGGACCTTGAAAGAGAAACAGGCTTTTAAGCTGCTGAGATTAGAGATGGGGAGAATTCAAGGTTAATGGAGTAGGGTCACACTTAGGTAGTGCCTAGAGTAGAAACCATTTTAAGGCAAAGGCCGAAGCCTGTCAAGTGCTCCAGCTGTCTTTGAAGCTGGAGACCAGAGAAGATGGAAAGGGGGTTAGGTCTCTTGCAGACAATACTGCAACCTGCCCATTCAGGTCCCCTTGGGGGAGGTCCTCTGGGAAGAGCCAGGGTGGTTCCTGTGGCAACCAGCGGCCATTGCTGTGGAGGAGGGGAACTAGGGGAACTAGTGCGGGTGGAGGGGGGTTGCCATGACAACCAGCTTTGAGGGGCTGCCAAGATGGGAATGTTAAGGACCTCTGGTTACCTTTTTGGGGAAAAGTGGGAGGGGGTAGGGCTGGACAAAGCCTCTAGGCAGGAATCCTGGGTGAGCTCCGCTGCTCAGGATGGGGAGGGATAAGGTCCTGGCATCCGGGTCCCTGCTGAGTCTGAGGGAGGCAGTGGGGTTTCCCTTTCTGTTTTGTTAGGGTCTTCAAGAAGTCGAGCCCTAACTGCAAGGTGAGTCTCCCACAGTGCTTCTCTTTCTGACCCTCCCTGGGCCCTCAACAAGGCCCAGCCTGCCCCTCAATGATCCCCAACCCCTATCTGCCCACTTCCTGTGACAGCTAAAAGCCAACTTCCTTCCCTCCAGAAGCCCCTTGCCACAAAGGCTGCTCCGCCTAAGCCAGCCACAGGGCTGGGTGGGGACAGGTCCCTAAGCAAGACCGAGGGGGAGGAGCCAGAAACCCAGGCCTACAGCCCTCAGGCCATGGCCTATTTACCCCAGAGCCCCTCTCCTGCTGTGACCCACAAACCCACACGCGCAGCCCACACATCCGATTGCTGTGCAGAGGTGCGAAAAGATATTAGGGAGGAGCTAAAAAGCCTCAAAGCGGGGTGGTCTTTCGAGGCCCCACCACCTCCCCTTCCAGCTTCCTGGGAGGAAACCAGGACCCCTGGACATCCCAGCCTGGGAAGACCAGGGGCAGGACAGCCCTTGTGAGGCTCTGATGCCCTACCACCCTCCTACCCAATCTTCCCTGTGACCCCTCTCCATCCTCAGCTCACTGTGTACTTGGGCAAGCGGGACTTTGTAGATCACCTGGACAAAGTGGATCCCGTAGGTAAGTGTGCCCGCAAAGGGGCTTCTTGTCCCCCAAGAGGAGAAGGTCCTGGGCCCAGGAACAGAGGAGAGGTCCTGGCGGGAAATCAGCTCACATGTCCCTTTCCTAGATGGCGTGGTGCTTGTGGACCCTGACTACTTGAAGGACCGCAAAGGTACTGGCCCCCAACTCTAGGGGCTCAAGGGGAGGTGGGGGAGAATGTGAAGTGGGCTGGCACTGAGAGGGGCCCCAGAGAGAGGGAGGGCTGAGGCACAAGCCAGGTGTAGGATTCAGGCAAGTCTTCGGCTGCCGAGAAGCAGCTGCTGCTAGGCCCTGGGAGGACTGGAGAAGGGGAGCTCCTGACCACCACCTTGCCCTCCCTTGCCAGTGTTTGTGACCCTCACCTGCGCCTTTCGCTATGGCCGTGAAGACCTGGATGTGCTGGGCTTGTCCTTCCGCAAAGACCTGTTCATCGCCACCTACCAGGCCTTCCCCCCAACGTCCAACCCGCCCCGGCCCCCCACCCGCCTGCAGGACCGGCTGCTGAGGAAGCTGGGCCAGCATGCCCACCCCTTTTTTTTCACAGTGAGGATGCCCACCCACCCCCCCCCCCCCCCTTTTGCAGGGCAAGGGGTCTGGGACTGTGTTTGGGGTGTGAAGCACCAGTTATGGGCAGTTCTGGAGGAAACAGTAAGGAGGGACCCTAGACCCACCTCCCTTCAGGGCCCTTTCCTCTCTGCCTCTTCCTGGGGCCTCTCCTTTTTCCTTCTCATCCCCAGGACTTCTTCTCCAGCCTCTTAAATGGAGATTGGGAGGAAGACTGGGGGCTTCCAGGGGAACTGAAGTCTCCCCTTCCCTCTGCCACAGATACCCCAGAATCTGCCCTGCTCCGTCACCCTGCAGCCGGGCCCAGAGGACACAGGGAAGGTACGGGAGAGACGGTTCTGAGGCTGGTGGGGCAGAGTAGGGTCCAGCACGCACATGAGCTGGGGGTGGGCTATGGAGAAGCCAGGATGGGATGAAGGGTAGAGTACTGTTCCCAGTGGACATGGCTGTGTTTGGGATGGTCACTGCGCATGTGTGACCCTGCTTCTTGCTCTTGACCTGCATGTACCTGGGCATAAGGGCTCACCTTGCACAGCCAGGATGAAGCCTCTGCGAGGCACCAGGCCTTGAGCAGGCAGAGGATGAGGGAGGGCCAGGCCCTCTGCTCCTCAGACCAGGATGGGGCAAGAGTTGCTGCCCAAGACTGAGGGAGGAGGGAAGGAAGGAAGCGGTGGTGGTGGTGATGGCAGGGGCCTTGTGCAAGACCTGACTTTTCCTCCCCCTCTAGGCCTGTGGCGTAGACTTTGAGATCCGAGCCTTCTGTGCCAAATCACTAGAAGAGAAAAGCCATAAAAGGTGAGGGAAGCCACCTCCCCTGTGGTTTGCCCATTCCACCCCGGCTCCCAGGAGACCCAGCCCCTGTGGGAGGTGGGAGTGGCGGTTTGGGTGTCTAAGGGATAAACCCTCACCCCCAGGAACTCTGTGCGGCTGGTGATCCGAAAGGTGCAGTTTGCCCCAGAGAAACCCGGCCCCCAGCCTTCAGCTGAAACCACACGCCACTTCCTCATGTCCGACCGGTCCCTGCACCTTGAGGCTTCCCTGGACAAGGAGGTGGGGTGTGAGAGAGTGATGCAGGCGCTACAGTGCAGGCCAGACCCTGGGGGAGGGGTGAAGCCACGTGCGAAGGTGGCGTTTTTAAAGGAGGCTGCCTGAGCTAGCTGTGGAGAGTTGCTGTGGGCTTGGGTTTCGAGGGAAGAGGCCAAGCAATGTGTTTGTGTCTGGGCACACTGATCATGGGACCAGTGAAAACAACCAATTAATTCGACCTCCCTCCCCTCAAAAGCTGTACTACCACGGGGAGCCCCTCTGCGTCAATGTTCACGTCACCAACAACTCCACCAAGACGATCAGGAAGATCAAAGTCTCTGGTAGGAGGTGGGGGTTGGAACGTGGTCTTGGGGGAGGGAGTTGCACACATGATCTGGCATCATCTCAGCTCAAGGGTCCTTTCCTCTCTGCCTCTTCCTGGGGCCTCTACCCAGCAGGGCTCGCAGAATTCAGGCTATGCCCGGCCAGCATCGACCTATGAACCAGGAGTTCAGGATTGGATTCCCAGTCTAGGCACATGCCTGGGTTATGGGTAGGGGATGTGCAGGAGGCAGCCTATCAATGATTCTCTCTCATCATTGATGTTTCTATCTCTCCCTTCCTCTCTGAAATCAACAAAAATATATTTAAAAATAAAGAATTTAAGCGGTCCCAGAGTGAGATACAGATCAGGTGTTCACTACTACAGGGAGGACCCGGGGGTGGGGGTAGGGGTGGCCTGGGCCCTTATCTTGTGGTCTGGAGTGGGGCGCTAGTCTTGGCTCCATGCAGAGCTGCTTGACCCTGCCCGCCCCACAGTGAGACAGTATGCCGACATCTGCCTCTTCAGCACTGCCCAGTACAAGTGCCCCGTGGCTCAGATCGAACAAGAGTGAGTATCAGAACAGCCCTGGGTCCCACCCTCAAGGGAGAAGAGTAGACCCGGGAGAATGTGAGGTGGGGGTGGAATTCTTCCCAAACCATCTCCACTTTCAAGGCCATTCTCTCCAGTCAGGTGGCTCTGAGCTGTTAATTTTCTTGAGCAGCTTGAGCCAAAACCTACTCCCTTGTGACTCGTGCCCAGAGAGAGAAGGGGCTAGCGATGGGGTTAGGAGTTGCCCCTCACCCAACCCGGCCGCTCCAATTGTCTTGTTCTCTTGTCCAGTGACCAGGTATCTCCCAGTTCTACATTCTGCAAGGTGTACACCGTAACCCCGCTGCTCAGTGACAACCGGGAGAAGCGTGGCCTTGCCCTGGATGGGAAGCTCAAGCACGAGGACACCAACCTGGCTTCCAGCACCATGTGAGGGGGGGCTCTGTGGGGGGAGGGTTCTCTTGCAGCCCAGGAGATAGATATTCATTCAGTACCAGCCGTGTGCCAGGTTCTGCCCTAGGTGCCAGGCTCTATCAGTAAACAAGAGACAAAAGGCCTCTTACATTCTAGGGGAGGGAGGATAGACAGAGCAGATATAGAGCATGTTTAGTGACCAGTGTTCAGGAGAAAAAGCAAGGCAAAGAGAGGGGCAGGGTGTGTTAACTTTGAATAGGGCGGCTAGGGAAGACATAATCCACGGGTGAATTTTGAGTAAGAGCCCAAAGGAAGTAGGCGATATGGACGTGTAGGGGGAGTGTTCCAGACAGAAACTGCAAACACAGACCCAGAGGTGAGCGGAGCCGGTGTGTCTGAAGAAATGGTGTGTCTGAAGAAATGCGCTGCTAGCCTCTATGTGCACTGCACGACCACTCAGAGCAAGCCTAGAGGCCAGCATAGTGAGAATGAACTACAAGGACAAGAGTAGCAGGTGGGGTTGGAGGGCTAATGAAGAGCAAGACGGTGCAGGGCTGTGAGGTCACAGGACTTTAGCTTTTATTGGGAGAGAGATGAGCAGCCATGGGAGGGTTCTGTGCAGAGGAATGGCGTGCAGGCCTTGGCTATGACAGCACAGCCTCTGCTGCTGGAGCCTTGCGGCTGGTGTGAGTTTGTGGTCCTGCTCAGGGTCCCGATGGGAGCCCTAAGGGTGGGCTAATGTGCCGGGCCGTGGGCCATGATCCAGCTCCTCCCCCCGATTGCAGCGTGAAAGAGGGTGCCAACAAGGAGGTGCTGGGGATCCTGGTGTCGTACAGGGTCAAGGTGAAGCTGGTGGTGGCCCGCGGTGGGTGAGTGTTGGGCAGCCCGGGGTGGGGCTTGCCGTGGTTTCCTCCAGCTCTGCGTTGTTATCATCTCTTCATGCTGCCTCTCTCCCTCCCCAGGGATGTCTCAGTGGAGCTGCCTTTTGTTCTTATGCACCCCAAACCCCATGACCACGTCACCCCCCCCAGACCTCAGACAGGTAAGCATGTCACCCCAAGCCCCAAAGGGGGGCCCCGAAGCCAGGCCAGTGGAGAAGGCTGGTCCTACCCACCCAACCATCCACTTTCCTCCTCCCCTCAGCTATTCCTGAAACAGATGCCCCTGTGGACACCAACCTCATTGAATTTGATACCAAGTAAGTCCCTCATCCCCTCCCTTCCTACCGTTGACTCTTGGACAAAGATTCCCATAATATTCAAATCTACCTTCTACCCCACCCCCGCCATTTTTTCCTCTTTGGGGGGAGGGGTGGTTGAGTCATCAAATCACCTGCCCCTTCTTTGTCCCTTCCTGCAAATATCTCCAGTCCCATTGCCGCTCTAACACCTCGGTCTGTGGGCGGAGAGCGGGAAGTTGAGAAGAGGGTCTGAAGCCCTCGCCTCAACCCCTACTTTCCACCACCAAGCTATGCCACAGATGATGACATCGTATTTGAGGACTTTGCCCGGCTTCGGCTGAAGGGGATGAAGGATGAGGACTACGACGACCAGTTCTGCTAGGAAGGGGGGCTGGAAGAAGGGAGTGGATGGTGCTGGGAGAGGTAGGGGCAGGACCAAGATCCCCACTGTCACTGGGGTGGGTCCCAGCCCCTTTTCCCTTCCCCTCCTTCCAGCAGCTTCCTCAACCAACCCC